GGCCGCGGCTCTCTCCCGGCACTGCGCATGCGCGCCCCGCCCCGCCACCTGCCTTAAAGGGGCCGCGCCGACGGGCTCCGGAGCGGGCGGGAAGCGCCGCGAGGTCTCCTCCGGGCCGGTGCATTGAAAGGCATCACGCCGATTTCCGAGAAGAAAGCCTAAAAACAATGTGAATGGAAACAACGTGATCCTCGTTACTGCCGTGTTCCCGCAGCCGCCGTGATGCGGGCTGGGAGAAGGAGAACGCAGCTCCGAGCCCCGCGCCCCCCGCTTCTCCCCACGCCTGACCCCTTCGTCCTCATCTCCGCAGACGAGGGGCTTTCGTCGGCGCAGGACTCACAGACTGTGGTGAAACGCGGGAGAAAGACGCGCACACCGAGCGCTTGTATAGAGCGGGGGCTCCGGATCACACCCGGAGCAAGTGCGTTCTCGGCTAAAACAGCAATTGCACGTTATTTATTATTCATCATTCTCATAATTATTCACGATATAAGGACTCATTCTGTACATTGCCTGGATCACAGAAAGAAAATGACTTTGCTTGGTTACCAGCAAAATAAAACCTTACTGAAATGCTTGGCTTGTGTTTGTTTTGTCTCGGGTTACCTGTCAGCCAGTGGACTTTGGAACTGAGTGTCATTTACTTACATAACTATTAATATCTGTAACATTTGATAAAACCTGTTCACATTTGCATTTCTGTTTCCATCCCTTTCCATTAAAAGTTAACATAGTCAGCTGTGACTCCAGATCAACAGGCATTTTATGCCTACTAAACAAGCACATGAAGGTTACAGCAACTGGATGTAATTTTCCGTACAGAAAATTAAACGGATGTTAATTCCTGTGCGAAGCAAACAAAACGGTCAGACTAAAATGGGAGAAGTCTGACATCTTGCCCCGGAGCCTACTGAGGAAGGCTGCATCTCCCTCCAGCTACAGGAGTTATGAGGGAGTTGTGGCTGTTTCAATAACATTCTGTCAAACAGTTCATCCATGGGATTCTAAAAAGTTTGAAAGTTCTTTCTTTTCAATAAACTAAACAAGAAGTAACTCATTAGTTATTTCTTCTGACTTAGGGATTCATCTACACATGGCAGTGTATATCTAAACGCAGCTGACAGTTCTCTGCTGCACTGAGAATTCTGCAACTTGCTTGCAGACCTTGATCTAGTGAAATCTTTACATTGCCTCAGTCTTCAGCAGTGCAGAGCTCGTACACTACAACAGCTCGTAATTAAACAAAATACACATCACCATCATAGTTATTAACAAACTATTAATTTTAATTCTGAGTAGCTAATACTCTTAATTAGCCACTTGGATTAAAATTACTAACAATTAAATCATGTATAAATTGGATCATTTTCCTCATGCTAACACTTTTTTCCCGACTCTCCTAATCCACAGGGCATACTTAGTCATCTGTTTATAACACACACCTGAGCGCTAAGTCAAGACACTGGAGTGGGAAAAACAGAAAAGAAAAAACACCGGAATACACGCCCGTTCGTGCACTTTAGCTTTAAGTGAGCGCCCTCTTGTGATACCTTAAAACAAAGAACAAGAGGAACAGCTGCTCAGTATTTCTGAAGTAACGGCCACACGGCACATCGCAGCAATCCAGGTGCAGCGTGACCGCGGGGACTAAGAGGCAGGACAATCCGACTTGCAAAGCTCTTTTCTGCTCAAAAGGATTAAGAAACTGTGTGAATTAGTCTGAGCCAACAGTTCAAACAGGTGTCTAAGGTTACTCTGTCAGAACGCCTGAAAGATCCTAATCAGGCTAATTAAACCTACAGAAGCAGGACGGTCACTATGTACATGTTAATCAGCCGTCTGAGCTCAAAGCTATAAACCAGAAGAATCAGATAAGACTTCATACGCGAATTCAGTTGACCAGGTACAGGCTGGTTAAAACTAAACATTGGAACGAGCACAGCATGTACTTAGTACACCCCTTCAATCTCTGCACGCTCGCTAGCCGTTGGTTTGGCGGCAGCCCGCCAGCCGCCACGGCTGCCCGAGAGCCAAGGACGGTGGAGGGAGCCCGGTGCTCAAGCCAGGCGAGCTTCCACCTGCTGAGTTTCCACCAGCAGTCCCTTGGAAAGGTGCGATGCCTGCCCCAGACTTCCTACTGGCCTGCCTTTTCCCAAAGAACGTAAAGCAGCAGCAGCTCAGGTCTGTCCCGGCAGCATGCCCTTCTCTCTGTGACGCGATGTCCCCCGCTGCCTGCGGAGCCGCGGCGGGCA